ACAGTGAAGAACATTCTTAAGTATTTGCGAAAAACGAAAGATATAATCTTAGTTTTTGGCGTCAAAGATGAACTTAAGGTGAGTGGGTATACTGACGCCGGTTTTCAAACAGATCGAGATAACAGTTGTTCTCAATCTGGTTGGGTTTTCTTGTTAAATGGTGGGGCAGTAACTTGGAAAAGTTCCAAGCAACAAACGGTGGCTAATTCTACTTATGAATCAGAGTATATCGCAGCAAGCGCGGCAGCGAAGGAGGCTATGTGCTTAAAGAATTTTATTGAAGATCTTGGAGTTGTTCCATCAATCCAAGAACCAATGGAGATTTTCTGTAACAACGAGGTTATAGTATCTTTGACAAAAGAACCTAAATATCATGGTAGAGCTAGGCACATCAAGAGGAAATATCACTACATTAGACATAAGTTTGAAGAGGGTGCAGTCGTGGTGAATCATGTATCATCAGAAGAGAATCTTGTTGATCCTCTTACGAAGGGTGTGAGCGAGATCAAGCACTTTGAGCATGCTAGGAGTGTTGGACTGAGAGACAATATTAGATTTTAGATGTTATTGTTGATATTATTTTAAAATTATATAGTAATAAAATTGAAATTGAATAGTGATTAATTAAATGGAGATTTCTTTATATTCAATGTGTATGATGCTATTTGTCAATTAATTTATTATTACATTTCACTTTGCATGTTTTACTTCCTGAATATTAAGTTATTCGAAGCACCACAGTCGATCATACTTTGGAAGTAAGTATTGATTTAAGACTGTCATGAATTGTTTGTAGCTTGTCCATAGAGACTGGACATTGCATTTGGATTGCTACAGAATTCATGAGTACTTAGAAATAGAGATTTTGAGTATTGGCTAAACCCGTACTTAGAGATTACTTCATGGATTTAATCACGAGTAATTCTAAGACCATAATATCCTCTATTCTTTAAACGGATATATGTAAGTTATATTTCACAAGTTGGTTGTGCATTGCTTTACTCCAACGCATCTCGTAACTGGGTACTATAAAAGGTATTTCATTGTATGACTTAATGAGTGAAATTATATGATTATATAGTTGAAGTTTATTCGTTCCTTTTGCCTTAATAGGAAAAGTGATATCTATGGGGCCCTCGGTGTTTTGATGTTGAGATTATAGTGATGGACCCAGCCGGGACTAAATTGATGTGTTCAATTGGTAGTCTAATGACATCATCACAAAAACAAAATCTTGGACAAGAGATTGATTATAATCCATATCTCATGTTCATTCGATATCTGGAAGAACGAATGAATAATTGATCACTTATCTTGGGACCAATAGAGTCTGGTAGTGTCTTTGAAAACACTCTTTACTGGTTATTTGGAGTTGTACGAGAAATTGTAGTTAGTGACTTATCCAAGTGGGAGACTGTTGGATTAAGGTGTCTAAGGTCCTAACTAAATTGGTATAAAGTTGATGAATAAAAGTAAAGTCCGTTTTGGGTTGCCCTCATAACCAAGAAATTGCTTAGATTGATTTTAGGAGAGAGAGAGAGAGAGAGAGAGAGAGAGATATATATATATATATATATATAAATGTTTTATTAATATATTATATGACTAATATATTAATTAGAAATAGTTATAATTAATTTAGAATTAATTTGGAATTAATTATGGGTTAATTAGAATTAACTATGGGTTAATTAGAATTAATTAAAAGTTGAAGGACTATAGTTGTAATTGTTCAAAAGTTGAACAAATGACAGGTTCCAGAACCTTCTCCCGGTGGACGGTTTGGAGGCTCCTCTTAGAGCTTTTTGAAAACCTTTATATAGATAATCAAGGAACTAGATAATTACCTTATTTGAAATAATATTATTTCATGTTCACATTAGGGTTTCTAGGTGTTTCCTAATCAGCTATAAATATAGCCTTATACTTGAGGATTTTCGGCCATGTTATCACACATACTAAATTCGAAAATTTGCCTCCTTTCCCCTCTCTCCTAATTCTTCTAGGGTTATTGTGTTGTGGGTGTGAACCATTAGAGGCTTGCACACAACTGAAGCTAGTTTTCAAGAGGCTATTGGATTGATCTAGTTGGATCAAAGGGTTTGTTTACAATAACAAATCAGAGGTATGTTATTCCTTTTGTGAATTTTGGTTTTCATTAGTGTTTAGAAGTTTTGTTGTTCAATAGTATGTTGCTTCAATAGAGTTATGACATAGATTAAATTAGGTTGCATGTACCCTTAAGATTTTAAGGTATTTTCCGCATTATTACATGCTAAACCCATCATTCTTATTACCCTGAAACAGTTTCTCCAAGGTCATCCAAACCCTATGAGCAGAAGCTTTATATTTTAAGATCATATTGAGGAGGGTTTGCGATAGAGTGGCATAGATCCAGGAGTAGATAACGTTATCAATATGAGTCCACTCGGCATCGACGTCGGTCGGTGTATTGATTGGGGATGTCAAATGCTCGGAGACTCCATAGGTCGCAGAATGAGTAGGAAATAATTCCTTCCATGTGTGATAGTTATGACAATCCAGATTGAGAATGAGTGGAACAGAGGTCCGGATATTAGTGATTCCATATGGCTTTTCATAAGCCATTAGAGAACGAAGAAGAAGAATAGTAGATTGAAGGTGTCGTAGGAAGAAGAAGAAGAAGAAGAAGAAGAAGAAGAAAATTAGGGTACGGTAATAATAGCTTTGATACCATATTATGAAGGATAATTTCCTAGGAAAACATATCTCATTACCATGCAAAAATATATACATGTACACATACAATAGAGATCAATACAAAAGGCCTTCGGCCAATAATGGACTAAACTACATACAAAAGTACAATACATAAATATATACTAACAGTAATATATTACAATTTGTTTCATGCATTAATATTCTTGTTTCATTCGTATAAAGATACAATAAGCCATAGCCATGATGCTATGGTCCCAATAAAAATTTGTTAATTGAACATATCAAGAATATTGGGTTTACATTAAACAGAAAAATAAATTCAAAGATTCTTCACTTGTTAATGCATGGAAAGTGCATAAGAGAATGACACCTCACACTTGATTCACTTGCAAAACCATTGATGTCACTCGTAAGTCATATCAAACACTTCATCACCAACCCAACAAACTTTACAGTGTCATCCTCAACCATGATGCCATCAATCATCATCACAACGAGGTACATACATGGAGACAACTTACTTATTAAGTTTTATTGTAACCATTTCTTCTCGATTTCTCTCAGAATTACGTATATCCATAGAGAAATCTGTGGAATGCATATCAAGTGTTTGATTAATTGCCTAAGTGAAAATGGGGAAGAAACACATTATGTTTCCTGCCACCGAAGTTGATTTGACTAAAGTCAAGTACGATCCTGGAAAAATCCAAGGTTCTTCTTCTTCTTTTTCTAACTGTTGATCGAATGTTTTTATCATTTCCGAAATAAACTAGATTTGCTTCTTGGATTTGTTCACTTTGTTACAGCTCCTGATGTAACTAGGATATGGCTATGGCTTTTTGTCAAGTTGCTTGAAACACCATTGATACGTCATGTGATCTTTTCTTACTTGAAGATACAAAACAAAATATAAGAGGTTTGTTCCTTTAACTTCACAACTAACAAACTCTCTTATTTTTTTTAAACTTCAATTTATGCTACACATGTGTTAAAGGAGATTATGATATCGGAATCAGAATGTTTCGACCTGAGTTCCAACCTCAAGGTTTTCTCCTTCAAACTCTTAACTCCTACTGATATTGTTTAAAACTGTTTAAGTAATCTCACGAGTTCGAAATTTGATATTAAACCTGAACCAGAACTAGGAGTTGTTTGTATTGAAGAAGACAGAAGATCTGAAGATCGAGTTGACTTAACCATTAGATGTCTTCCTCATTATGATCATGCCTCTGATTTAGCCTCATCATTTCGCTATTGGAAGATTCGTGATTATACATATTTGTACATATCAAAGATCACAACCTCATCAATTTCTTGATTATACATATTATTTTAATTTATTTATTTATCTCACTTCAGTTTATTTTATTTAAAGAAAATTTTATTGTTACTGAAAAAACTCAAAACTTCTAACCCTAAAAAGAGGATGTTACATAATTAGTATGTATTTATTTAAAAAAAACAAATTAAATTGGTTGTGAGAGATGAAAAATATGGATTTTTATATGTTATGAGATGAGAGATGTATAAATGTGAGGAAAGAGAAAAAAAATGATGTGATAGTAATGTAAAAAAAATGTTAGAAATGATGAAAAATACAGATTTTTTCCGTCTTAAGAGATTAAAAATTAAATTCTAACGTTCAAAATATCGAAAAATATCACATAAAATTTTATAGCTACATATTATAAATTATCAAATACTAAGTATTTTATAACTATGTGGAGAAATTTTACAAAAATGGTCTTACTTAATATGTAAGTTTACAAATATAATCCATGTTTAATAGAAAAGTTATAAAAATTATCAAATATTTCATAAATTTACATAAGACAAAATTACAAAAATGGTCCCTGTGGTATGCATTTTTTTTTGGGGTTTTAGTCCAAACCACGACTTTTTTGGATTGGTGGTCCTTTTGAGCTAGTTTCATTGCATTTTTGGTCCCTCCGAATAGTGAAATGACTGTAATACCCTTAGGGTATTTATTTTCTATTTTTCTTTCATTTCTTTTTAAATCTAATATTAATTTATTTATTTTAATAATTAAAAAAATAAGAAGGGGCCCACCCCCTCTCTCTCTCTCATAAACACACACATACACCCAACTTTGTCTTCCTCCCTCACCTGCTAAAATTATAACACGAAAATACTTAGTAACCCAGCAACATTCATGTATAGAAGATAAGATAATAAACACCCAACACATAAAAGCATCGAAAACAGGGTAAAATTGTTCTATTATAGTATCCCCCTAAAATCAGTCAACACCCATATCAAAAGAACACCAACAGAGCTATCTAGTTCAACTTACGGAGATCACCACCACGAAGACGAAGAACAAGGTGGAAACTGGACTCCTTATTGATGTTATAATCAGCCAAAGTTCGCCCATCTTCCAATTGATTCCCTGCAAAGATCAACCTCTGTTGATCCGGTGGAATCCCCTCCTTATCTTGAATTTTGGTTTTAACGTTATCAATGGTCTCGGAGCTCTCAACCTCCATGGTGATTGTCTTCCCTGTAAGGGTCTTAACGAAGATTTGCATACCTCCACGAAGACGGAGGAAGAGATGAATAGTCAAATCCTTATGGTGGAGACGAGATCGGGTAGGGAACTCACCGAATCTGCAACATGAACGACAGCGGCTGGTGGAGCTATTGTAGGGCTTGTCGTCGGAGTTGTCGAGGCAACGACGATCGACAAAGGTGACCGGCATTCCAGATCTGTGAGAAAGTGGCGGTGAGCAGTTGATGGTGAGCTTTTGATATATATTTGATTTGAGAAACAGTAAGGATGATTGTACAAACCTTGATTCTGATCATGGTGTTGGTGGTTGATTTTTGGTGGCCGGAAGGAGAGATGGTGGTGAGCAGTTGGGGTTTGAGGAAGACGAGGGTCGTGAAGAAGATGATGGTGGATTGTATCTTTGGATATTGAAACTGGAGAGCGAGAGAGAGAGAGAGAGAGGGTGGGCCTCTTCTTATTTTTTATAATTATTAAAATAAATAAATTAGTATTAGATTTAAAAAGAAATGAAAGAAAAATGGAAAATAAATACCCCAAGGGTATTACAGTCGTTTCACTATTCGGAGGGACCAAAAGCGCAATGAAACTAGCTCAAAAGGACCACCAATCCAAAAAAGTCGTGGTTTGCACTAAAACCCCCAAAAAAATGCATACCATAGGGACATTTTTGCAATTTTGTCTTTACATAAATAGTATATGCCTAATCAAGATTTTTTTTTAAAAAAAAAAAGATAAAAGGAAAAAGGGTGTCTGCCTTTCACAAAATTATAGAAATAATATAATAAATATAAATAATTTTTCTCTCTATTTCATAAAAATATAGAAATGGTCCCTATGTTTAATAAAATGACAAAATTGCAAAAATGGCCCCTGTAGTATGTATTTTTTGGGGGTTTTAGTCCAAACCTCGACTTTTTGGATTGATGGTCCTTTTGAGCTAGTTTCGTTGCGTTTTTAGTCCCTCTGAATAGTGAAATGACTGTAATACCCTTGGGGTATTTATTTTTCATTTTTCTTTCAATTTTGTAAATCTAATAGTTATTTTAATAATTAAAAAAGAAGGGCCCACCTCTCTTTCTCTCATTGTCTTTTACATAGTAACTAAACCCATCGTCTTTTACATTGTAACTCATACATACACATATACATACTTTGAAAATCTATTATGCAAAATATGGAAAAAACAAAACACCTCGACAAATCATTTTCGATTTTGTTTCTGGGTCAGACTAACACCAACCACATCAGTCATCCCACCATACCTGTTGTGAATCGGATTTCAAGATCAGACATGTTCTGCTTTGCAAGGGCATATATTGTTTTGTTTTATACATGCTTGAGGGGAGAGGGATGCTCTGTTATGGATAATCGATTCAGAATGGGTTGAAAAGAACCTGAAATGTTTCATCAAAAGTGCAGAGAAATGACAAACCTTCCAGCCAACTAGATAGAGCAGGAATCAAACCTCATATAAGATCTTTATAAGATCGTCAACTGCAAGAGTTTTAGAGTGAGAAAGACTAACTTGTTTCTATCAGATTTTGGGTTTTGGAGATATACAGGTCCGATTTCATAGTTTTCTTTATATACATCTGAATTCCAAAATTTATGCTCCTGAATGAGGATCAGACGATTTCGTTTTGCCCAGATTTATATGATCTTATAATTTTTCGTTTTGCTCCTGAATGGGAGGTTTGGTTCAGAAGCAGTCAATAGATGGATGATTAGATGGGGATAATTTAGGGTTATCGTTCCCTTTTCCTGTGGATAGCTGACTTCAGGCGATAACAGTGACCGGCGATGAGGCGAAGGTAAATCAAAGAAGAAGACGAAGGTGTGGGGTGAAGCAAGGAGTGATGAAGGTGAATGGTTCGGCCGGGGAAGAATGGTGGTGGGATCGTGTGTGTGTGTGTGTGTGTGTTTGGAGAGAGAGAGAGAGAGAGAGAGAGAGAGAGAGAGAAATGTGGGTCCAATTTAATTATTTATTTTCTTTTTCATTTAAATTAAATAGAAAAAACATGAAAAAATATCATAAGGGCATTACAGTCATTTCAGTTTACCGAGGGACCAAAAACGCAACGAAACTACCCAAAAAGGACCACCAATCCAAAAAAGTCGTAGTTTGGACTAAAACCCCCAAAAAATGCATACCACGGGAACCATTTTTGCAATTTTATCTAATAAAATTATAAAAATAGACTCTATCAAGTGGCAAATCTACATAAATATTCCATGTGTTTCCCAAAATTACAGAAATAGTCGGTCTCTAATTAAAAAAGGGATATATACAGTAAAGTCCCAATATTCTCATCGATTTGACAAGAAAATCCTAACCTTTATTTTTTTGACAGTAAAGTCCAAATTACCAACAGTTTTTGACACTTTTACCTTTTTTTCCGGTTAGCCGGTAATTAGGACTTTATTGTCAAAAAATAAAGGTTAGGACTTTCTTGTCAAATCGTCAATTAAGACTTTACTGTCAAAAAAATAAAGTTTAGGACATTCTTGTCAAATCGTTGAAAATATTGGGACTTTAGTGTATTTTCGTAACCCAAGAACTTTTAATTGTGACTTTTGTTCCAGCACCACTGTTTTTCTTACGATCATCATCTTTACCCTGACACAATCACGATCAGGAGAAACATATGCAAAAGAGAGAGCGAGAAAGGGTGAAAAGACTTGTAAAAAATTTTCCTTACTTCGCCACCAAATCTTGAACTAAAAAGTGGGGACAGATTATACAAATACAAACAACACATGCCTTGTCAAAAAAGTGTGAATGTGGAGAAGGGAAAGAAGGGCAATTTCGTTTTTTTTCGGTTTCTTATTTCTCCATTTTTAGGACTGCAAAAAGCCAACACAACCCTGGTTCTTTCTTTCTTTCTTTCGTGATTATCTTCATTTTTTTCAATGTCGGTTTGTTGAGATTAAAAAAATGATTTAACAAGAAGAAAACGTTAAGGATTTCAATAGGATCTACCTGACTAGATAATGTTTTAATAACTCTTATGCTTAAAGAGTATCATACGATTAAATTTCTAACAAAAAAAAGGGATATATACACTAAAGTCCTAATATTTTCAACAATCTCACAAGAAAGTCCTAAACTTTATTTTTTTGACAGTAAAGTCCTAATCGACGATTTGACAAGAAAGTCCTACACTTTATTTTTTTGACAAAAAATTCCTAATTACCGGCTAACCGGAAAAAAATGGTAAAAGTGTCAAAAACTGCTGGTAATTTGGACTTTACTGTCAAAAAAATAAAGTTTAAGACTTTCTTGTCAAATCGATAAAAATATTGGGACTTTAGTGTATATATCCCATTAAAAAATAATAGAGAAATTATGATATGTTTCATAAAATTATAGAAATAGTTCTAGCCTAATACGGGATTTATAGTGATGGTCTCGTGTTTCGCATAAATTAGATAAATAGGCTTTATATATAAGAGATCTTTATAAAAATAATGTCGAAGATTAATAAACTCGCCGTAACACACAACCATCCCAATAGTTTTCTTATAATATAAATTAAAAAAAAATGTCGGTCATCCAACGCTAGCCGATCCAAAATGTACAAAAGATTATGAAACGTTGATACCAACGGCGATATCGATATTTTCGCAAACAATAAATACCACATTCCTTAATTAAAACAAAACAATAGCTTCAATCCCTACTTAAACCCCAAGCTACTTCATTCCATAATCATATAATCATCGTCATCACCAAATACCAACTTCTCTTGTATTCTCTCTATCTCTATCAACACTATGAATCGTCACCCACGTCCATATCGCACCTTTCTTCCAAACCAATACCTAAACACCCCAACCACTGTTCGTACACACCAACCACTGCAACAGTACCTTCATAAATGGTCTGTAGATGAAGATCAAGTCGCTATACTCAACAGTGTCGACATGTATTCACCACCGTCGTCTTTCTCCACCCGCACACACCCACCACTGCAATTTATGGGCGGAGGAAACTGGCAGCAGTCTGAAATCGTAGATGAAGTAGTTATACTGGAGAATATTGACATGGATCAGAGCTTTAGACATGAAGGGTTGACGAAGAAAGTAATCTCCAAGAATCTTAAACTGAAACAGATCAACTGCTTTGAAGAAGAAGGAGAAGATGAAGATGGGATTTGTGTGATATGTCAAGTTGGATTCGAGAGAAAGGAAACTGTAGGAGTTCTTGAATGCAAACATCGTTACCATGTTGAATGCATTAAGGAGTGGCTTTTTCATAAGAATTTTTGTCCTCTTTGTAAGGTTTAGGTTTTTCCTGTGTAAAATCGTTTTAAATTGATTTATTATTTTGTTTTTAATATAAAATTAGTTCTTGTTTATCAGTATCTCTTTACCTGTTATATGTTTGTGCTTATGATTAAAAAGCCTCATAAATTGTTCAAAATATACTGTATATTAAAATGACCGAAAAGAGAATCTTGAATGTTTATCACAAATGGCCTATTATTTCATAAGACATTTTTTTATGTAAATTGTTTTATCATTGATCCCCACGAGATATCCTAAAGAATCACGAAAGTTAAAGGTTGCGAATTTTATTATAGATTTATGTAAAGGAGACTATGAATAACGAAACTTTGCGAAAAATATATCTTACTAAATAAACTGTATTTTTGTGATAAATAAATAAAAATTGTCATTTTAGTGATTAGTCCTTTTGTAAAAATATTTGATATGTGATTTAATTAAAGGATTTGATAAACAAAAAAAATGTTTGGTTGTCCACAAATCGTACCTCTAAAATCCCGTACTAAACAATTATCCGTTTTGAGTTATGGATACAATTTATCTAGACATTTAGCTCAAATTAAAATTGATCAAATGGGTTATATATAAGTCATCAACAATTTAATAAAAATAAATTAAAAGGAAAACTTACTTCACATTTTTCTTAAAAAATGACATTTTCATTCAAGAACCTACTAACAAAAAGCTAGAACACGAAAAACATTACGGAGTGTGGCCTATGGAGTGGTGGTTTAGACCTGAAAAGATGGGTGTCAACTGTAATCAATATAGTCATGAGCAACAATGACTTGGACTCTTGGAGTGGTGGCTTATAACTCTAAAGTGTCCCTTCCTCTTACAAGCTAGCTTTTGGAATTGATATACCTAGATTTGTCCAGTAGTCTACAAGGGATAAATTGGGAATTCAAATAAACAGAGAGCAACTTATGAGTGGAAGGGGTATTTTGGGTATTTATATTATTTAGTTTGTTTGAGCATAATGCTTATAAGAGGATAGTGTGAATGAGGGTAATGTCATCTTTTGTGTGAAATTTGGCATTACTACTTGGGAGAGGCAAGACTCTCAAATCACTAGCAAGCATTAAGTTATCTTCGTTCATTTTGGTGTTAGTCTCAGTGTTTTATCAATCGATATTATAAGTTTTTGCTTTGTTTCATGTTTTGAGTTCCTCCTGCAAATCAGTTCATAACAATTTAGGATTGCTTACTTAAAACAACATATATTAAAACGGGGTTAATTTTTTTTTTTTTTTGTAAACGTATGTGGTACCAAAAAGACCAAGTTTGTTTGATATTTCGCAAAAAAGAAAAATGAGCTTACAATATGGTTTTTTAGAGGGTTAAAACCTAATACATAAGAAAAAAGATAATATGGAGTCCATATATAAATAACATTTTCAAATCGAAATTTCTATTTTAAGTACATTTTATAATATTTATCCAACCATTCAAAAAGACTCATTAACATGACCAAAGTGCAATTAACCGATAAACACTCTAATTAAGAATAATTGTAAGAGATTAATCTAAACTTCAAATGTCTATAATTAGTTTAAGATGGATTATATTGAATATTTTAAATTTAAACTTTAATTAGTTTAAGATGGATTATATTGAATATTTTAAATTTAAACTTCCACCGAAGAGCGTGGTGGAAATATTCTTGTTTCACTCGTACAATAGGCATGATGCAATGCTCCCAATATATTTATTTTTTTAAATAAAACATATCAACAATATTGAAAATTACATCAAACAGAAAAATAAATTCAAAGATTCTTGCTTCACTTGCTAATGCATGGAAAGTGCAGAAGAGAATGACACCTCACCCTTTAGCTTCACTTGCTAAACCATCGATGTCACTCGTAATTCGCATATCAAACACTTCATCACCAATCCAACAAACTTCACACTCTCATCCTCAACCATGATGTCATCAATCATCATCACCACAAGGTACATGGAGACACAAACCTTACTTATTCTTAACTGTAACCATTTCTTCTCGATTTCTCCAAGAATTCGTAAATCCAGAGAGAGAACTGTGGAATGCGTATCAAGTGTTTGATTAATTGCCTGAGTGAAAATGGGGAAGAAACGCATTATGTTGCCTTCCACAGAAGTTGATTTGAGTAAAGTCAAGTACGATCCTGGAGAAATCCAAGGTTCTTCTTCTTCTTCTACTACTACCTGTTGATCGAATGTTTTTATCATTTCCGAAATGAAACTGGATTTGTTCATTTTGTTGCAGCTCCTGATGTAACTGGGCTATGGCTATGGATTTTTGTCAAGTTGCTTGAAACGCCGTTGATAGGTCCTGTGATCCTTTCTTACTTGAAGAAACGAAACAAAATAACAGAGGTTTGTTCCTTTAACTTTAACAAATCAAAAACTCTCTTATTTGTTTAAACTTCAATCTATGATTCTACACAGATGTTAAAGGAGACTTTGATACCAGAAACACCAATGTTTAGACCTGAATTTCCTCCTCAAGGTTTTCTCCTTCAAACTTCCAACTCTCATTGATTCTATTCAAAACCATTTTACTAATCTCATGAGTTTGAAATTTGATATTAAACCTAAACCAGAACCAGAACCAGGAGTTGTTTGTATTGAAGAAGACAAAAGCTCTCAACACCGAGTTGACTCAGCCATTAGATGTCTTCCTCACTATGATCCTTCTTCTGATTTAAATTTAACCCCATCATTTCACTACTGGAAGATTCGTGATTATGCATATTCATACAGATCAAAAATCACAACCCCATCAATCGTATGTCATTTTCCCCTACTTTTTTATGCTTCTTCAAGATATATATAAATATACATATACATTTTACAGATTGCAGAACATGTGATCACTGCAATACAAGAATTCAGCAACAAAAAACCTCCAATACCTCTATTGATTTCTTTTGATGCCATGGATGTAAGAAAACAAGCTGCAGCTTCTACTCAAAGGTTTTATACAGGAACACCATTGTCAGTATTGGATGGGATCTTCATGGCAATCAAGGATGATATAGATTGCTATCCTCATCCATCTAAAGGTATATATTTATATAATATACAAATGTATAATTGAATAACTGTATATCATACTTTTTAATTATCTAATAGCTACACACATAACAATAGGTGGGACAACATGGTTTCATGAGGTACACAGTGTTGAAAAAGATGCAATTTGTGTATCAAGGTTACGTAATTGTGGAGTGATTTTTGTTGGGAAGGCTAATATGCATGAATTTGGACAAGGGACTACAGGAAATAACTCAAACTATGGGTAATGTTTTCACTTTTCATGTTTGAATTTCCAAATTGGTCTTTTTTTTTTTTTTCTAAAAATTCTTTTGAAATTACAGAATTACTCGAAATCCGCATGATTTGGAAAGATATACGGGTGGATCTTCATCGGGGCCCGCAGCGATTGTAGCTTCTGGGATATGTTCAGCTGCATTAGGAACAGATGGAGGAGGTTGTATATAGGCTTTGAAATTAAGAAATCAAATTCTTTTTTTTTTTTTAAATTCTCATGGTGATAAAAATACATGTTCAAAATCATAGGTTCGATTCGTATTCCATCTTCTCTTTGTGGTGTTGTGGGATTAAAAACAACATATGGTCGTATCGATATCAATGGGTAAGATTCTGTGAGTCATCTAGTGGGACCCATTATACAGTAGTAGTAGTTTGAGAGTTTCAATTTCAATGTGGATTGGGCTTTTTGTGGGCCAGTTAAGCTCAGTGGTTGCTGAAAAATATGTTTTTTGTATAAATATGATTTTTTTTAAAGCAAAAATAACATATTTGAAACAAAATTTTGAAAAAAAAAATATGTAAAAAAACTAAATTTATGATGAATTTGTAACAAAATTTTGAAATCTAGGCCAAGTGGAAAATTTTAAAAATGGGACTTGACCGATAACCAGGAAAAATGATGAAAATGAATACATTTACCAGTATTTGTGACTTAATCAGAAAAAAATATATATATATATATATATATATATATATATATATATATATATATATATATA